AGGTTCTGCATGCTAGTAATATCCAAATATCTTTACTCACAGTTAGGAAGTTGACGTTATTATCGCTGAATATGAAGAGAGTCAGAACTATCTATGCTTTTACGTAAGGAAAATATGCACCTCGTACAATATGTATGTCTTTAAATGACCTAACTTTACTGTATGTTATCAACTTCGTCATTTAAAAATGGCAGCACCCAAACAGCATACTGGCTCTCCTCCCATCTTTGAAGTACCTAAAGTTACGCGAGTCTCGGCAGGAAAAGACGTCCATATTACTTGTCAATGCACCGGAGACCCAATACCAAGCTTCAACTGGTTGCGCGGTCGGACAAACTTCCTGACAAAAGCGGGAAAGCATGAGCTGAAGCTGAGTAAAGAGGGCAACTTTCACCTCTCGGAGCTGTGGATTAAAGTAATGTTTCTTAGATTTGCAGCTGTAATTTCGTTTAAAAATTATTAATATTTTGACCTAAGTCAAAGAATAGACGAATGATATTCCAAGTATATGTTCCAACTTACGATAATCTCGACGTGAATTTCAGGTTAATAAATCCATCCCAATCAAATGGTATATTTTCACGGATCATAACTCGCAGAGTGTTGTTGTCCTAAGTCTAAATAGGCAGAGAGGTCTAAACGTCAAGCTAAACTTGTGCCTTGACTCGCAACTGAGCTGAGCATGTATTTTGGGGAAACGTTTCGCTTTCCGGGTATGGCCACTCATTTGGAGCTTGCCTCTTGGTTAAGAATTGATATAGGTAATTCGGTATGAAGAACACGCTTATTGGACTATTAAATCAAGTGGTAGTCTTATTTTTGCTAGTTGATGAATTAACTAACAACGCTAGTTTAAGCAATTTTAAATATCAGCACCACTTAAAAACTAGTAAATGAGCATTTATGCTCATATATGACGAGCTTTTAGGGATGTAAAAATTAAAAATACTCAAAATAACTAGGAATATTTGACTAATATAGTATAATCGCCAGAAATAAATAGGAATTTATTGCTGATAATATAAATCAAATTTGTTGAAGGATTAAGGGTTGATTTCTTTTACTTAATTACAGAACTTCGTTGAAAGCGATGAAGACGAATATACTCTGACCGCAAAAAATGTACATGGCGAGGCGAATGCTGTGATCTCAATAATAGCGTATGCCTTACCTCATTGTTCTTCTATCAACTTAAATAGTAATTAGATTTTGTTTTCGCAAATTAGTCATATTTGTAGGAAGACTTAGAGAAACGCAACTATTCCGGAGTTCATTGTATGCATGATAATTTCCAGACGGACCGTGGACGTGATACATTCCCAGACGCTTCGCCAGTATCGTAGTCGGCATTGTCAGTGAGTCTCGCCAGTCCTACCACCACAATACAACTCGTTAAAGAGACAAGTGAAGCCGATCCTTTGACCAATTTTCTATTAAACAATTGTGGTATCTCTCCTACCGCCGTGGCTATCCACCAACCCTATATCATCATATCACGCTTTCACTATCACAATTTGTAGTTGTTTATTTAAATGTGGTATAGTGTGCACCTTTTGAGCGGCTTTCATTAGAACTCTCTCTACTCCACTCTGGTGTTCTAACCCTTTCACATACCTTCACCATTGTTCTGGGAATGTCGATTAGAATATGACATGTTGTTATGCAGTCCTCTTTCCTTAGGACTTATCAGAGTCTTCCTCTTGTCTCGTAGAATCAGTCTCCTATCTCACTGGTTCAAGTAGTTCACTCGACCCCTGCCACCCCATCTGTGCCACTCGAAGCGTTATTTCCCACACTCTGTGTCAAGGCGACTAACTCGAGGCTAAAGCCTCTGCGTAATTCTCATGGTCAAGCCCTTGCAAAATGGACCAGGTCTCTGGTAAAATCGGCCTACTGTCAGCCAACTAGATCCAGTCTCCGCCGCGTCTATCCTGTTTCTATCTCGTATACCAAGTCTAGGACCTCCTATGCTCTAGTCTCTTGTGTACCACACTCGATATTGAACATAATCAAGGCAAGCAATACCACAAATATTGTGGGTTGGCCAACAAGAGACTAGGGCATATCAAGTCATAGACTTGGTATTACGAATAGAAACAGAATAGACGCGGTAGAGACTAGAGCTAGTTGGCTGACAGTAGGCCGGTTTTACCAGAGACGTGGTCCGTGTTGCAAAGACCTGACTTTAGCCTCGAGTTAGTCCCCTTGACGCAGAGTGTGGGAAATAACGCTTCGAGTGGCACAGATGGGGTGGCAGAGGTCGAGTAAACTACTTGAACAAGTGAGATAGAAGACTGATCCTACGAGGCAAGACGGAGACTCTGATAAGTCCTAGGGGAGAAGGAATGTGTAACAATATGGCAGACTCAGATCAACACTCCCAGCACAAGACTTAAAGGGTGTGAGGGGGTGAGAACACCAGCGTGGAGTAGAGAGAGTTCTAATGAAAGCCGCTCAACAGGTGCACACCATACCACATGTAAATAAACAACTACAAATTGTGCTAGTGAAGGCGTGATACGAGGATATAGGGTTAGTGATTAGCTATGGCGGAAGGGGAGATACCACAACTGTGTTGCACACGTTTGGTCAATGTATCGGCTTTACTTATCTTTTTGGCGAGTTGTATTGTGGTGTTAGGATTGGCGTGACTCACTGACTATACCGGTGGAACGTCTGGGAATGTACCAAGTTAACAGTCCATCTCTGGTACTTATCATGCATACAGTGGTCTCCGGACTAGGTGCGTTCCTACAAGTTGTGAAAACAAGGTCAAACAACTCATATGCAACGAACGGATACTACAACCACACAAAAGGCCACACCATCTTGGTCTTCATACTTTTGATTAAATAGTAATGATAAAATATTATATCTAACCGAATATATGAATTATTTTTGTAATAAAATTAGGCTTTGAAGCGAGTGAAACTTTGACCCAAAATTGTTTAAAAATGTAAGATAATATTTCAACTAATAGAAAGCCTCTGCTTAAAATGCACCTGTCTTGTAAGCCTCATATCATTTTCTCTATTGCACTTCCTCTAGATTCAAATTCTATAATCCCCCTCCCACCCTTAATATATTACAAAGTACATGATTAATCTGATCACACCGAATGTTAAAATGCCAACCCAACCATAAAATATAAGCCAACAGAACTTAGCAATATAATAATAATGCTCGCGGTGTACTATTAGAGTTGCATGCATGTTGGTTTCCTTATTATAACTGATCTAATATTTGGCACCGTTGATTAACTAAGCTCGCTTACTACTCTTAAAACTATGTAATGAGTAAGAAAACTAAGTATAAATTTTGAATTTAGAAACTCGAATCCAGGACGTCTGACCTTCAACATTTATCAAATTACTATGAGATTCTAAGCTTTACAGTAGAGATTAACTTTTCGTAATGAGTTTTATGCTAATACTGATAGAAATACATGTTGAACAGGAAATCTTATATACTAAATAAGGTCACAGGAATAATTTAATATTTCAATAGCCATGCTTAATAGACAAATGTCTGCTAAAGGACGTTAGGAATTTTGGGAACTTCAACATTTATATCGTTTAATTAGGGTATATCATTTGAATTATGTTTTACTTTTTACTTTTTATTTTTTTGTATTTCATCTCACATCTCATAATGAACCGGAAAACTAACCATCCATTTTTCATAATCTTCACATTTATTGCTCAGATTCTTAATCAAACATATGACCATGCACTGAACAATACAACTTGCTTACGCTAATTATTTATTCACGCGAAAATTAATCATGTGGGTACTTTCATTTAGTCCAAAAGCGATTGATGAAGTTGTTGTGAAGCACGACAAGGCAAACCGAAGGGCTGTGATGGAGGTGAAATTCGAGTCTGGATCACGGCCCACCTCAATTTGGTCTTTAGGAGGGAAGGAATTAAAGTCGGGAGGTCGCTATTTCATCGATGTGGCTCGAGAGGATAACCATTTTGTCGCAATACTCGAGATAGACGAGGCAAGTGTATCCGATCATCCTTTATCCAAACTCAGTCGATCTTTCGTATACATTTACCATCAAATTGTTTTATCCATTGAAATACAGTTTATAGAAGACACAGGGATAGGAGGCCTTTTTTGAAGCATATGCATATGCACATGATCAGTATGCAGGTGTCTGCAAGTCAATTCCACATCATTACGTCTAAGCAGTGGGTTTTTTGAATAAACATAATATATATGGAAAAGAATGCATTATGTTAGAAGGCTAGACTCTACTCATTTCAAGAGGATTTGTCATAAAAGTTCCTTAAGTAAAATATATTTTTAATATTTTTTACTAAGGCAAATTTTAAGACTATAGATTATCTGAATCCTGTAAACCGCCGCATGTAATATTTCTCATCTGAAAAAAAAGTATGAGAACCATATGCTATTTTGAAATTATTTTCCTTGTAATTCTAAGGCCGTCTTTTTTTTGACTATTTCCTTAACGTTTAATGGCAAACTTTAGGAAATAATTTTCACGACACCATACTTCCTGCAATTACTTCCACTTTATTATTAATTGTCACTTTCTTAATTCCTGCTAACAGGTGACCGAAAAGGACAATGGTGCTTATATATGTGATATTTCAAATGATATTGGAAACCTCAAAAAAACAGTCAACTTGAAGATTGAAGGTAATAATATTTTAATTCTTAATTTGGCATTGCTGTAGCTTAATAGGCTAGCCGGGTTTCTTTTAAACTTAGCTGAAATCTATGAAAATTTTAAAAGCCAACTTTTAAGGGTTAAATTATAAGTCCATGTTTTAAAAATTCGCAGATTAACAGAAGATAAAAAAGATAAGATATAAATGTTTCTGCAGATGTTCCGATAATATCTGAAGGAATTTGGTTAGTTACAAGCTAGCGGAAATTTCCCTTTTCACAATGCATCGGAGCCATCTCGACACCAGGACCAAGGAGAAGAATACGAGTGCCAGTTTATGAAAATAAATCCTTCTAACCCTGGAATTTAGTGCACTAGCTACTTTCTCATCATAGCCATGCTAAAGTAACATATTTTGGTCCAAATTTGTATAATTGATATTTCTTTAATTGATTAGAATAGTCATTTTCCTCAAAGTATTTCGCTCCTTGGCCTAAAAGTTAGGCGGCTTTCCGGACGATATCTAAAGTGTGCTATCTGGCCTCGAGATGATAAAATATGCATGTCCATCAGTTTGTAGAAGATAGCGACCATTATGTACGAAACGTAGGGCAACCTGCTAAGGCATACACGGTTTGGCCCTAGTGACAGATTAACTATATGCTTTAAGCACTACACTTGCTCATCCTTTGGCATATTTCCTCTGTGATGTTGCAAAATCTAAATCGTTCATACGCGCAATTAATTCTTTTTTTATTTTGCCTCCTTAGCAGAAGCAAGACTATCTTTAGGCATATTAGCTGTAATGACAAGAGTAATTGCCTTCGAAAGCAGTTGTATCGTTTAGGTCATTAAAATATATTTACCTCAACCGTACAAACTCTTATTAGCGCTGGTATTACTTATTTAATAACGCTATTTTATGA